AGGGCAGTCGGGTTGCGCTGCACCAGGGAGCTCCACCATCCTTTGAGTTGCAGGCCGCCTAGGAGCAGGTCAAATGACGAGTCCACCAAGGTAGCTCACCATCAGGGAGCGCGACATAGCTCTCCCCCAGGCAGTTCGCCATCAGGAAGCTCGACATAGCTCGGGCAGCTCGGCATAGCTCTCCCCCGGGCAGTTCGCCACCAAGGAGCTCGTCTCCAGGGAGTTCGCCACCAAGTAGCTTTCCACCAGGGAGCTCGCCACCAGGGAGTTCGCCACCAAGTAGCTCGTCACCAAGTAGCTCTCCACCAGGGAGCTCGCCACTAGGCAGTTCTCTACGAGGGAGTTCGCCACCAAGTAGCTCATCACCAAGCCACTTCACCACCAGGTCAAATAACGAGGTACTTARCCAAAAAAATTTATACATCACAAAGATTGGTACGTGACTAGAAACGGTTACATCAATAAGGAAACCCTTACAATTCTTGTATTAGTTTTCCTATCTTTCCCTTCATTTTCTTACATTTTCCACCGAGAGTTTTGATTTGGAGAATAAGACAAGAACAATGCAAAAGCAGATGATGCAAAGTAGGCTGGGATTAGTGTGGAAGCCCGTATGTTTAGGGAGATGATTGAGTGACAAAGGAAACCTGCTTTAGTTGCTTCTCAAGTAGAGGTTTTAGTTACAAAAGACTGAGATTAGCGCACCATTTCTCAATAGAGGGTATTAAATTATTAATCTTTTTCAAGGGTGAGGTGAGGCGTGAGGGTATTTTAAGAGACGGGTGTAAAAAAGATTTTCAAGTGCTTATTATTGAACCCGCTTACGAACAACTTCGTGACCACCTCATCCAAACCCCTCGTGGCCAAGTGGGAACGAGAAAAAACTGCAATCCATGCATTCGGCTCGTATTGTGACGGGATCTGTTCCATACAAATGGGTGCCTCACAGGCATATTCTTGAGAATATTTCCCATAAATAATAATTAATAAATACGGGAGATGTTCCGAATGCATAATAGGATGTGCGTCTAAAACACACGTGAGGCGCCAGGTGTGAGGAGCATATCTCTCGTCGGTGTTTAGATTAAACTCGATCTAAACCATAAACCCAGAAACTCATCAACAATGTCTCCGAAATTTGTTCATACATTTCTGCACCAAATCTGGCCTATTGGCATTCAAGGCCATTGACTCTATGTTCACAGACCACAGTCACCGATTACCTCTAAGTTAACTCCCTAAAAGATAAAAGTAAAGCATTTCGACAAACATCTTTGGAGCATGAAATCACTGACCTACACTTGGACTTCGATCTCACGACGTCGTGTCTCTCCTAAACCGCAACACATACACACCACCAGAACCTGGCACCTACGTTTAAACAAAACTACCTTGGACGAACTAGGCAGTTGCAGACCTTGTCTACACAACTGCCACCAACGTGTCCGAACAAAGTTTGCAGAGGTCTTGAAGGACCAACGCGTGGCACTTTGCTTTGAACGTGTCTACCCGAAAGACGGGCGAAAGACCTTCTGCTACTTCAACCGATATATAAGATGTGCGAGAGATAGGTCTAATCTCCGTTCAACCGCAACTCCCAAATGCGATAAGAAAAACAAATATAGTTTGTCCGAACCCCAACACAAATCGAAAATGCAGTCCATGAAAGAAGCCGCCTCAAACGTCGCTGCATCGGCCAAGTCCGGGATGGAGAAAACCAAGGCGACCGTGCAAGAAAAGGTAATTAATGGTTCCTTTCATTATGTTTTCTGCTTTCAACGTCGCAAGAGTCATGGACCTTTTTGACAGGTGGATAAGATGGCCGCTCATAGTGCCGCTGAGAAGGAAATGGCGAAGCAGCGTAAGGAGGAGAGGATCAATCAGGCAGAACTCAAGAAACAGGAGATCCGCCAACAGAATGCTGCAGCAAAACATACAGGCAGTGGAGTTGCCGGTCACCCAACCGGGCTTTACGCGGGCTCTACACACACTGTGAACCCCCATGGGCAGGTACTCTAAGGTACTGTTGGGACGTCGTACCCAATCGGAAGCCGGAAGCAACGCGAGATTGGGCGGTGACACTCATACTTAGAAACGGCAACGGTGGGGCTTGAAGTTAGAAAGGGTGGTTACTGGTTAGTCGCAATGGTCTCTCTACTGTAAATTAACGAATTTACTTGGTATCAATGTATCATTAGTATTATCTGACAAAAAAAAAATGTATCATTAGTTTGTGTTGTATTCGGTGTCCCTTGTTTCTTCCTCTGTTATTTGGGAGTGAAAGCTAGTGATATGCTGTCGTTGTCTGTGTATTTGTAAGCTAGAATTAATTCACCGTTATATTTGAAGTTCTCTCTCGTTAATTAATTATAAGAGAAATTGCTCAAGAGGTATATAAATTGATCTGTATCCTATATCAATATTCTAATTAGTCAAGATTCTAATTTGACGTCAATTATCGTGTTTAATATTTATCTTATTCCGAAAATCGAATTAGGTCCAACGTTAATTTTATAATTTACATACCGGAAAGGTTAGTACGTAGTTCAATGGGTATCTCGTAGGGCTTTCTTAAAAAAAAAAAAAAAAAAAAAAAGGAATCTCACTATCTCTTAGGATGGTCTCATTTCACTTGTTGATTGGGCTGACCTACTGGGTCGGTCTGGGCCTTATGCTACTTCATCCGCAATGGGAAGAGGTGCCCAAAGCCCATCCATCGACGTGTAGGGTTGAATATGGGTTCAGGGTCCTTTGATGGGCTTACATGACGGATACAATATGGGCTGATAAGTGATAACCCATTAGGTGGGTGGATTCTGTGTTGCATACCCAATGACTAATGACTAAGAGACGAAGGCAAGGCACAAGCAGAGAACTTTTGTTCTGTTTGTTTGTTTGTTTATTTGTTTTTTTTTTTTTCTTTTTTAATTATTACCAAGAGAAGAGAACGTTGGCTGCCCACGCCACGCCTATGCTGCCTACAGAACTCTCTCCACGTGATAGGTTATAGAAAATAGAGTCATTGATTTCAGCATTGTAACTGTTAGATGAAATTCGTATCAGGCAGGGACTGGGAGGCCCTGTGGAGGGCAGAGGCTGTGGAACGTAGATAGCCAAATATTTTCCTGTTAGGCTTAATTTCTTTGTCCAAAGCGAACAGTAATACTTGTTATATGAGGTTCAGTAAAGTGGGGATGTGATAGAAGGTAGCTGGTTTGGACTGGGTAGGCAGTGGGATGATGGGTTTCATTGTTCGGTCCTCTCTCTCTCTCAAGATATTGAGTTTCTGGAAGTCTGTTCTCTTCGCTGTCTATTGATGGATATGGTGAAAAGGGTAGAAGAATCTCTGACGGTGACTGGAGAAGTAGTTGGATCGGGTTTGTGCCGGATATTGTGTTGGTCGGTACTTGGTAATGCGCCCAAAATTTGATGATCTTGATAGATCATCTTCTGGCCACAGCCTGTGCGGTGGTGAGCATTGCACTCAGCTGTTGATTTCTACGAGTGTTCTACGTATTATTTATGCAGCAGCCAGCTGGTTATCGGACTATCTCTTTTAGTTCGTTCCAGTTCTCTCAAACAGTTATTTATTTATTTATTTTTTCTATTCTCATTATTTAATTTCTTTTAACAAAATTTCTTGTTTATTTATTATAAAAGGTAAAAATATAAAACTATGAAAAAGAAAGCCACGGGCCATAACTAGCTGCTAGACTGAAATACTATGAAATGACAGTTCCAAATAGAATAGAACTCAGCTGTTGCCACTCCACCCTGGTAACTTGGTAAGGCTTTTAGGACCTTGATCCATGAACAAGATGTTCAGTGTGGAAGCAAGCTAAGGCCTAAGGGGTCCCAATTCCCAAATCCCTGATTGAATGCATCAAAGGTCAAGGACCAACTACTTATATACCTCATCCAAATGGATTATGGCTTCTCCTTTAACCTTATAAATTGGCTCAAATTTAAGAGTATATATGGCGTAGGCGCAGACCAAAATCTCATTGTTACAGAATGAGATTTAGTGCTAAAGGGTTTCTTTGCTTTTTCGAATCACCACACATTGTTAGAGGGTGAACCTCATTGTTTAAATGCAGTGTTTTAAATTGGAATCGGAACCGGAACCGGATTGACGACCAGTTTCTGGGTCAGTGGTTCAAAAGTCTGGTCCAAACAGATCGGCCCATTATAATTTAAGAAATTTAAAAATAAAAATAATTGAAATAAAAAGTATCCACAAATCGTTGTCTGCGTCAAACTGGTCAATATCCGCATCAGCAAGTTGTTGATCAAGGCAACAATTTTTGGGCAAAAAGCGGTTTGGGATAAAAACAGACCATTTTCAGGCCAAACTGTTTGACCGTGGAGCTATGTAAACAGCACAGGATGTTGATTGTAGATATATAGCAAAAGATTTTTTTTCCACTGTAGGACTAGGAACTACACTTCACCGTATCGGAACCATGCCCAACAAGATAACAACAACCTAACAAGGCTGGAACTATATACAGGCCACCTTCAGTATCTAAATGAATGATCAGTATTAAGCAGTTAGAGTGAGTTTTAAGTGTACATGCAGTCTCCAATAAATAAGCCTAAAATATCCATTATATAAATGCAGCTCAATTCAAGGCTTTCCAAATTCTGCTATTACAAAAAAGAGGAAACACACTTAGTTCTTTCCTCTTTTAAAAAATTGGTTCAGTTCGTAAGATTTTGGCTGATTGTAAGGGAGACTTGGGATCGAAATCCTGCCTTCACCAAGTTTGGGGGGTTATATTTGGGATTGGGCTAGCTATACATATTGTCTTAACAAGTTGGGATGATGTGAGGGGAGTAGGGATTGTTCCTCTACCCAGGGGCCTGTGGGATTGATTTGAGGGGGTAGGACTAGGGACTGATTCCCCCCCACCCAATAGAATTTTGATCTGTCTTTGTCCTTGTATGAATTTGATAAATAAGGGTCTTTAAATAAGCTATTAACCCAATGTAGAATTTTTATGTTAACTGTCTGTGGACTCTCACAAATTGTTATTATCCCATAAGAATCTTTGTTACAACTCATCAAAAAACTTTTTCAAGTGATGAGGATAACCATACATAAAAGAAAAAAGTGTATTCAAAACATGCCTTCATTCATTTCATTCTCATTCCAAAATTTGTACTTACGAAATTATTATTAATGGTCAATTGGATATTAGTTATTATTTTTACCTTTAGGCTCTGTTTGTTTTTCGGTAAGTTATTTATCCAGATAAATGCAGTTACCTGGGTAAGCTTTTCTTGGGAAATATTTACCCGTGTAAGTGCATTTATTCATGTTCCTTTATTTATCATTTAAATAAGGCAATGACTATTTTAGCCATAAAAATCCATTATTAAAAGGGGCATTTTTTATCCTATTCAAGTGTTGACAACTTCCCTCTACGTTAGAAAAGTTATTTACACACCTAGAAGATGGGTATTACTTACCCAAATAAGTGGTACCCAAAAGAACATTGGGGTTTTGAGTCAATGAAAACCAAAATTCCATTGACCATCTTTCCCCCCCCCCCCTCAAAATCCGAAAAAAGAATGCCCCCTTATAATGTGTTTGGATCCTACATGAAAATAAATGATGTCATTGTGGTTTTTCTTAAGATTTTAAATTTTTAGAGCACAAATTAGATATCCAAGTTGGAACAACCTTGGTTGTCAATATCTTATTTTGAAGGTACCTTTAACAGAGCCTTTATTTTGTATTGTGGCAAAAGGTCTTTCGGCCTGAAACTTGTACTTGGAATAACTAAGGGTTTGTTTTGATATCCATTGCTTTTTAGCTTTGTTATAAAATAAAAAAATAAAAAAAGCCAAAAAATGTGTTGAATATTTGGTAAAAGTTGCTTTCAAATTAAAACATTGTTATATGAAGCTAAAACACTTTTATACCCCAAACAATGAAGCCTAAGTGACCATCCCCTCCATAAACAATTGACCTCAGAAAGCAGAAATTGGAACTTTGACTGACTTCTCAAACAAGCCCTAAAATTGGAACTTTTTCCTTTAGGGTTTAATAGCACACATGTAGGTAGGGGTGTTTACAGTCCGTTTCGGAACGGTTTGGAGAAGATCTCAGACCAAACCAGTAATGGTTTGAGAAATTTCTAAATCAAACCAAACTGTTTTATTACGGTTTGGGGCAGTTTATAATACGGTTTGGAGACTTTGGACCATTCTAAGGATCTTTTGGGCTTAACCTAATTAGAAAGTCCAAATAGTTTCCCTAAAAATTAAACTTAAAACTTTTATTTATTATTTTATTACAAAATAAAGAGTTTATTATATAATTATAATTTTATGCATTCCATTTAGATATATTATATAATGTTTATATATTATATATTCATATTATATATGTATATAAGATTTTGATTTGTGATTTACGATTTGATTCGATTTATAAAATTCAATAAACCAAACTAAAACCATAAAATACAACTTAGAAAATTTTTAAATCGAGTAAAACCGTTTATAAGTATAAACCAAATTAGAAATTCAGTTTGATTCAATTTGGTTTTGCGGTTTTAACCGTATAATGAACACCAGGAGCTTAGCCCAATTTGTCAAGTTGAAGACTCTAAGACGTCATTTAAACTTCATAAAGCAACTATTGTGCGTGTGTGTCTTATTAGTATTTTCAAACTGTGTTTGACCAGGACAGTTAAACCAGTGACATGGAAAGCTGATCGGATCCTTGGTTTTGGACGGGCTTGATTGTCTCGTACCGCCCAGTTGAACCATTCAACCTGCTAATTGGGCCCCTTGATGGGCATTCAAACTGGTTTTACTATGATTTATTAAAAAACATGCTTTGGTAAGCGCTGTACCTTTGATTGGCCCAATATCTTCTTGTTCCTGTACAGAGGATACACCATGGAGGAATGATATTGTCCGATTTGACAATGCACCATCTACCCTATGATGACCCTTTGGTTTGGCCCATATGTTCAATCCTTCAGAATATATCAGCCCTTTCAGCCCTATATTTTCCTAGACTTTGATGCTTCAGGGTGCAAAAGGAAAATGTGGGGTCGTTATGGGCCCTCAAGGCCTCAACTTTCTTACCACGTGGAAGGTTTTTGAGTCAAATTTAGACTTCTCACTAAAATCTATGGTTTACCAAAGCAACTCTTTGTCACATTTTATAATGCATTGATTTCATGACTATAATTTCATGGCCATAACTTTGGAAGCAGCCCACCCCACTTTATGTATTTATGTGTCAAACAAGCTTTTTAATGTAAGAATAACATAATTCGATACGTATTCTCCCAACAGTTGGAGTAAGAAAATTACATCTTATTTATTTTATTTTTTATCATTTTCAAGATTGCACTTTTTTTTTTTTTTGTGAAAGATTGCACGTTATTACTGCCATAGTTACAGTGCCGTTGTGTTGCAATTGTATTTGGACTGATCAATACAAATTTGTGTGAGATATTTTTCTACATGAAATATTTTAAGCTGATCAATGTCAAATTGATATTTCTCAAATACATACATTTTTCTGATTGAAATGATGATCTAACAGTGCATATTTCCTATAAATTTGTATTGATCAATCCAATACATAAGAAAATTGCAACTCTTACTTTACCAAACACCCTATTAATTATTGGTCTCAAAAACAATACCTTGTCAATATTAGTCGATTACTTCATGAAGAGATTTCGCTGTAATTGACTATTATTATTGTCCTGTTTTAGTAGTAGATTACTACAAAAATAGATTTTTAAGTAGTCGATTATTAACTCAACAGAACTCAAAATAACAAGAATGAGGTAGAAATAACAAAAAATGTCAATACAATCAAGCAAATGCAAATAAAACAAGTACTATAAAAAATACAAAAGATTTATGTGATTCGGCTTTATTGACCATGTGGAAGGGATGAAAATTATTCTTCACTATGAAAAAAATGAAAAACAATACAAATACCTTGTGGCTTGCAACTCCAACCAATCTTTAACCCTTGTATACCCATTTTCTCTTTCCTCTCTCAACCCAAAGAACAAAAAAAGAGAACACCACTCTTACACCAAGAGCACTAATTTTCTCTCTTTCCCACTCTCTCTTTCAACCTACATACAACAGAAACATTTTACATGTAAGCCCTCTTTAACCTAAAGAGGAACCACACCAACTGTTAGATTAAAAATAATTCAGCGATTGAAAGTTTAATTTAATTTAATTTAATCATAGGCCAAGTTGTATTTATTCAATTTATCAAGTAAAGATCTTACCAACTTAGCATATTTTTGCCATATGGAGGGATGATGTGGGATGATAGGCTAATGATGATGCCTTGTTCATATGAAACGTCCAAAATCTCAAACTCTTATTATTTTGTATCTTGGTGACCTTCAAAAGATACGGTACACCCCATTTGAGATCGTATCATGTTGATATTTTAATCCTTCAATCAAAAAGTTATATTTGACCCAAAAAATGTTAGATTATTGCAAATAAAAAAATGTCAAACATGTTATATTAAATATTAACACACTTTTCAATGAATATTCTTTTATTTTTTTTAATGAAAGTGAAAATACAATAGAATTTGCAAGTGCAACCAAGATCAAGGATTAATGTAATTAATGACATGATTTGCCCTGACATATCATATCGGATTCAAAAGTCACAAGTCAGCATCCTTAATAGAATAATCACACTTAAAAAATATTAAGCAATTGATATACATAATACCTTTTTTTGTATGGTGTATGTTAATATTTTAATTAAACCCTGACAAAGATGGAGAAGATCCATGTAAAGATATCAAGTTGGGATCTGCTCCCAACAAAACTTGACCTCATATTTTTCCAACATAGCATCTCACCATGGAATTAGGACTCACCCTGCTTGAAATGTGCTATGTACAATCATGTTGGAACATCACGACATCGTGACATGTGGAGTGATCCGTTGACCTTATGACTTCTCAGCATCTTTGGACGTCTCAGCAGTCTAAGTCACCTTGGGCACCTCGGGTCATTCAGCCAAGACCGAGGTCCCGAGCAACTCACACTCACACTGACCTATCGAGGTATTACATAGCCTTCTTCTAGAAGCAAACCAGCTCTCTCAGATTTCTTTGGGATTACGTCGCATACCAACAAATTTTATTATAATCCTTCCCGAATTGGACAGATTTAGATAAGCCTTATCAATTTATATGAAGTCCATTTGGATGTGGAATGGTCTCCAGATTAGGAGGGTCAATGATCTCAGACACGCTTTGTGAGGCCCATAGCAACTCGCCTATATAAAGGTACCATCACCACCTTTACAAGGTACGCATGATTAATCTTTCTCACTAGCATTCTAAACTCTCAAGCTCTCTCAAAATCCTCCTACACTAATTCAAGCATTAGAATGCCCACATTGAACAAAGCACCCTGGGACCTCTGATCTACTTATTTTATAGTTCGACCCGGCCATGTAATAGACTAACGTCCGAACTACCTTCTACTAGGAAGCAACTAGATTGCGTAGCATCACCATCTTCCACGAAAACAAAAAAAGAATGATTTGTTCTGAAAAGCTGGTTAGAACCATGTAGAAGTATAACTTGAGGGAGAGGTGTTGATAGACCAGAGAGCTCAGAGCAGCTGAATCATCTTTTAACTGAATGTTGAGCTCAGCCTTTTCAAATGGACACTAAGAAAAAAAAAATACACATACAAATGTAGCTAAAGCCTGGTAATGACAGTGGTGTGTCTAAACTCTAAAGCCCCCAATCCAAAGTCCAAACCCATCGCCTGAAAACTGAAGACGGCAAGGCCCATTGGATGAAATCGAATCGGAAATGAAAAGAGAAAATCACTAATTTCCCGTCAACAAAATTAGAATATATTCTGTCTTACTTGATCCACTGGCTATCTACTTTYTTAAGTCTTGTGACGTTGGTTGTCAGTGGGCAGTGAATCTACGTGTCAACCTAACACTGTTGGACAAGCCTAAAATTCGAGTGTCAAGTTTTGAGAGAACCGAGGAAGAGGGTTTGGGATCTGATAGGACCCACAACGTTGGCATCGAACTAGGACACGTGGAAAATTAAAACAGATCGATTCTAAAATCTAACGCCCTATTTGGATAGATTTCTATTTTGTTCTTTAAAAAATATGTCTACATATAAAATATTTTTACTTTGATATTTTTGTTTTGAAAATCATATATATAAAAACTTTTGAAAATTATACTTTCTAAAACAAAAGCACATTTTCTGTTTAGCAAAAGCACCTCCATTTGAACTTCTGGTGATGATTTCTGTGGTTTTGGGGTTTGAGACAGACAATGGCAATCCAATTCTAGCAGTAGTAAGTGGAGGTAGGGTTGAGAGTTTTATTGAAGGGTACCACTGGTTTGCACAAAAGTGGAAGCACAATTTTGCTAAAAGCAGAAATATAAAAAATTGACTTCGTATTTTTAAGATTTTTCATACAATTATAAGCAAAAAATATAAAGTACATAATACAAAAGTTGTCGTATTTTTTGTACTTTATACTTTCAAAAATAGGAAAGCATTTTACAAAAGTGTATCCAAATAGGCCTTAAATTGCTCGAATCTAGCCTTTTATTTTGCATGATCACTCTGTTCGATCCCCACGGCCCATATCATCCTTCCGATATGGATTTCTCTCTCTCTCTCTCTCTCTCTCGTGTATGTTGGATCCCCCCACTAGTGTCGTCTATTTAAAGGGTAAACATAAGCTCACAATCGCTTCATTTCTGAATATTCCAAGCCGAATAATCTGATGGTCGTATATGTATTCTATGTAAGAGTGTCTAGCTAGCATATTCTTCATTATCGTCTATCTAGCTATCTTGTTCATGCAATACTCCAGATGACGAGCAGAGTATCAACTAGCTAGAGTTCTTTTATAGTATTGTCATACAACAAAATCACCTTTTCCTTTTTGTTTTGTTCCATATCGATCCTTGACTACAATTTTCATCTGAAACTTGTTCACCATCAATCTTTAAAAGCACAGAAGTGACCGCATATCGTCTTGGTTCATGATTCTTCTTTTTGTTTGATTGCTTATTTCTCCTTCACTTCATCCGGTCTCTCTACTCTTATCTTTTTCTGACTGTCTGCCTGCCTAGCTGCCTGCTCAATGAAAAAGATTTTCAATCAGTGTTTCTTAGGTTTAATTTCGTTGTTCATTTCATTTCTGTTCTTCTTCTTCTTTTCAGCTTACACGGTCAAAATATATATTTTGAGGGCAACATTGTTGTCTTCTCTAAAAAGCAGCAAGCAAATTATGTTCCTGTACTGACTGAACATTTCTCATAGAGTTTGTACAGATCGATCGACTCAACCGCTGCCGTCGAATATCCGGAATCACATTGTCGGAATCACTCACCCACAAAGGTACGACCATGAAGGAGCAGGATCTTCTCCGCCGACTAGAGAAATTCCCCGGCGAGAACCCAGACATCGGCGTCGACTGCGAGCTAAGGCTTGGATTCTCTAGCTCTCAACCCAACCCACCTCCAGAAAACTGCCGGAGATTCATTTGTGACGCTCTTCCACCTCCTCCGCAGGTATTATTTCTGGACAAACAGATCTTCTGCTTCCACGCAAATATTTTAATTTGAAAATCAATCGCGCGTATGGTTTTAAGAAATATAGTTTCGATCAACGTAAGAATCTATGATCGATCTACTTCCCATCATGCAAAGCTTGCCTTCTCGTCCACTTTCTTTCTCTCTTAAAATATTTTAATGGCTTAAAAGTTAAAACCCTCAAGAATTTCACGGCAGAGACAAACCGGAGATGATGGCGGTGGGTCCTGCCCATGTACAAATGCATGCCACCATGTCATAGTTTCATCTCCCCATACACGCATACAGACAAAACCAGTCTTCCAACTCTTGTTCATTACCGATGATAGAGAGCGATGTCCATCGACGTCCAATTAGAATCTGACCGTCCGGTTCAGACGGTCAAGATCAATATTCTCTTTCTACTGGACTGTTGACCGCATAGAGAAATTGTTCCCTAGTGGGAAGTGGTTGTATTTGACTCGTGAACATGTACGGTGGAGTAAGTAAACATGCTGATGCTCCGCTCACTATCATAAAAGCTGGTGCTTAATACAGCGAATACTCATCCAGTGACGGTTATATTTGCTGACGTGGCCGAGCAACTAAACATCCACGTGGACGGGACATGCAATTGTTCCTGATTCAATTTGACTGCCTACTGAAGGCTTTTGACCTTGGTTGTTTTTTAGATTCACTTTCGTCATCATATCCGAAGTATATGATTTAGCTAGGGGTCCCTCAGTTGTGCATGGTGACCTTCGTAGGGTCCTGCCCCACCAGCATGGCCTGATAAATTGATCAGAAACCGTCTGATCTCGTACTTCCTCCTCTTCCGGATTTATCATTCACCAGTCACCACTCTTTCTAATCCAAGCCCATCCAGAAGAATACGGTTGATCCCTTGGCCCAATGATGTTGAATTGAAGTTCGAAGGAACCACGTACCACTAACTCGATAAATAAAATGCCAAAAGGTGAAGTACTTGGCCAATCAGGGGTTGGTTTGGGATCATCAGTTCGGCCCAGGCCCATGAGCTACTAATAAGTTTTAGTGAATGTGATAGTCGTACTGAGTACTGATTAAATCATCGTTTTTATCATCAGGCATTTTCTGTTGGTTTTTGTTTACAGGTAATGACGAGCTACGCAAAAGGGCCTCCACCTACTGCTGCAGTGAATGTGAATGGATACTGGGCCACAAATGGCCCAAACCAGATTGACTGGATACCAAGCTTAGTGGGCCCAAGAAATTATTTACTGAGTTCGTCATCGTCAGGCCCAAACGTCATCAATGCTAGTGTGGGAATGGGCCTGCTGCCAATGCAACGTCTCAATAACGTTGCACTCATGGGCTATGGCTTTCACATGATAGCAGAAGCAAATCGTCGTGGTGATCCAATAAAGCGCTGCGCCGGGTGTGAAACCACAAATACCCCACTGTGGCGCAATGGACCCAAGGGCTTTAAGGTAAATTTCTTTCTTTTTAATCCCCCGTTTGGGAGTGCTTATTTTTTAGCACGTAATAGAGAAGGCATTATTTTTGAAAAAGCGCTTGGCCTGTCACCTAATTTTCAGAACACCTGTGTTACCACATTTGAAAGAAGTGCTTTTTCACTAAACAATCGTAAGGGCTTATTGGATGAGACCGAATCAGCCCCCACAAGACTGCAACTCACAACATCCCACACCACATCCCCGCCGTGTATTGGGAATATCTACCGATGATGATATCATCATTCCTGGTATTATCATCAGGAGGTGTTCCCAATACACGGCGGGGGTGTGGTGTGGGACGTTGTGGGAGCTGATTTGAAGTCTTATTATATAAGCACTTAAAAAAGGTAATTTTATTTGTTTTTTTTTTAGTTTAAATGTATTGTCTTTTTTTTTTTTTGAAGGCCAGCTTAAATGTATTATCAAAAGAATTGAAATAGGCAATTTATCATTTTGCTGTTGAACGTTTTCAGTCGCTGTGCAATGCTTGCGGCCTCCGGTACAAGAAGGAAGAGAAGAAGATTTTGGGAAGCCCAGACACCCATTCAAAATCTAGAGGAAGGAAACTTTCTAGGAAACACAACTTCTAAGTGCACATTGATCATCTGCTTCTGCCAGCAATCTCTTTTTCTTCTCATCTGTTTCTCTTATTTGCTTTTCGGGATTTTTTGCTTCCATTTGACAAGGGTGGTTAATGGTTATTTACACTTTGTTGCTGGTTCCTTAATGAATTAAGTTTCTCTCTCTCTTTCTCTCTCTCTCTCTCCTTCTGTAGAATTTTGATATGAAAAAAAAAAAAAAAAAAAACTCAAATACAATGAGGTAACAGGAGACAGTTAAAGAGAAAAGAAGTAGCAAAACAAAATGAGAAGATCATGTTAATCCTTGGAGAATCTGAAACTTTCCCACTATAATTCAGCAGACAAACAGCCAGGAAGGAGGATAGGAGAATCCGCTTTCAAAGGATTGGAAACCTTTATTTGCCAAAAGATGAGACACTACTCCATTTTGATCCCTGTTCGTGAAGCGAAAATATCGAGTCAACATTAGAGCTCAAACAGAAAAATCATTTTACAATGTAAATAAATGTCTCTACTATTCAAAAATCAGCTTCAACACAAAATCTGGGTTGAGTGCCAATGAGATGCGCTCTCTAAATCTCTAGTTGGACTGGCCACGACCACTCTAGAAGGTTCTATATTACAAGCACCATCATTTGGAGGGACAGGGATTGCATTTTCAACTTACTTGATTGACCTGTTCTATCAGTAATAGAATTAGAAGCACTGCCTGAGAAAATTTTGCTTTCCCAGCCACCTTACAAATATTCGAATTTTGGATTATCCGAATTCCGAAGGCTAGTATATTCTTGGTTTATTTACCTATTATCATTTCAAGATCTTAGAAAGAATTCTTTTTTTTTTAAATTATTTCAGGCGAAGGTATTATAAAATCAGGTTTAGGGTTTGAATGTCACATAATTTTATGGTTTAGGGGAACAAGGGTTTAGATGAAAATCAAGACTTGGTGGTAGGAGACAAGTATTTCCCCTGGGCAGGGCAGCCGACAGGGAACAGCCAGACTACACAGCAGACAGCACAGGCAAATGTAAACATCAAGGGGCAAAGGTGATTCCACATTCGGTGAAATGGTTAACCATTGAACCATCCTGGATCTTCAAACGCACAACAAGAATGATTACATTAATTATAAACACACTAAGAGTCTAAGACACAAGAAAGCAACGCCACGCATTCATTTATTCATTTGATTATAAGCATCTTCAGCTTCTCCTTGCCCATTTAAATTTTAAAGCGAAAAGGTTAATAAAGCCAAATAAAATACCAACTATAAAGAGAGCGTGTTATACCCTTTTGATCGCTTCAAACTCGAAGTCCGCCTTCAATAAAACCACACGTCCATTTTAAAATAGGATCCGCACCAACGCATACGAGACGAGATCAAGAGTCAAAAGTAGTTAAGAGATCAGTAGGAACCACCCCCCCCCAAAAAAAAAAAACATAGAATAACTTTTTTTAACACCCGTAATGTTTTTTTTCTTCTTTTGCTTATCCACAAAAGATGCATCCAAAGATCCAACAACCAAACCCAAAACCGAGCTCCATCAACAAATACGACAGCCAAAGGAGCTTTTTATCCCTCCCACCAACCCCCCACAACCAAAAAAGCAAGCAAAACAAAGAAGAGCGCTCAAACTCCCTGTTTGCGGAGATCAGCTGCACCATGTGCAAAGTGACACCTGTCACCAAATGTGCAAGACCCCTTAGCAAAGTTCTCGCACAGCTTGGTCTTGTAGTTGCTTGCAGCTACAGCTTGTGCTGCTGCCGGTACGCCTGGGTTCTTCCCTGGACCTGCCGCTGAACCAATGTTCACGATCAACTCACGTACCATTGCGCTTGCTTGCTTTATCTGATCGAAGGTCCCCTCAAGCTCGATGTTTCTCAGGTTCGGATCCGATTCATGTTCTCTTATGGCCAGCTTGGCACCTGTTAGGCGACAAATCTGCTTCGAGTTTACACCCCCTTTTCCAATGATGGCTCCAGCGAGGGAAGCATCAACGCTGATCTTTGCTGTAGCAGATGCACCAAAGCTCGCTGCAGCTGCAAGACCTGGCGGAGGAGGAGGGGGCTCAAGCCTGCCAGCCAATCTGCCACCGCCTGTCATTGCTCCTCCTAATGCACGGGGATCTTCATGTGATGAAACAATGGGCTTTCCAAGTTCACGTTCTCCGTGGGCAAAATGACACTTTTCCCCAAATTTGCAACCCTCAGCTGTGTTGAACTTGTTGCACATGCGAGTCTTGACTGCTGGTGGAGCTGAACCATCGGGAATGGGATGGTGGCCTACTGTGTTTCTTGAGGACGGAACTGCGAGGTCAGCCAAATTAGTCATATGGGCTACAGTATTGATGCCACCGGGGACGTAATGAAGGAAGTGGCAGCCCTCACCAAAGGGACAACCGGCGGTACTGCATTGAACATCAATCAAGATCCAAGGATTAGAGACCAACAACTTCAATTTGTATACAGGACAAAAGAAGAATCACAGAGATTCACAGAATGCATACATTCTCTTGACGTCTACCAAAGAAAACCGCCAGACATTAACCAAACATGCTATAAAGATGAATCAATAATCAACGAGTAAAAGAGGTCCCTTAACATTTTAACAAACGCTCAATTCCAGCCAGGCCCGCTTAAATTTAACTAGAGTATAAACCAG